GAAGAAAAGAGATAAGGAGGGTAATATATTGACAGACCAGCAAGAAAAACTAAGAAGATGGAATTCCTGAATGAGAAGGAAAATGTTTTATTTATACGCTAAATAAAAAATAAATTTTTCGCTACTGATAAGCTTCTTGGAAAAACTCATAAGGACAGCTATATTATACGATAACTTACGAGATCACGCGTATGACTCATTTCATTAATTCTTTGCTAGAGTATAATCATCTATGATTCGCACATGACATTGTCCTGATTTTAGATGACTTAAAAATTGGCAATGATATATTAAATGAACTCAGCGATGCAGAATGCAAAGTAATTCTAAATATTAATTATCAAAAGACAAAAATAATGACAAATTTAGTTCCGAGCCATCCTTTAAAGGTAGAAGACGTCGAATTGAAGTTGTTGACAGCTCCATATACATATTGGACATATCGTAAAAATTAGCAAAGATAAGCAAACTGCTAAGTTGCTAAGGAGAATAACTCTGGATTGGCAGCATATCAGCTTAAAAAGAATAGCCTTTAATCAATGTCTCTTACCTGTTCTTGCATATGGCGCAGAGGCACTTACTCTAATAAACATTTGCACGAAAATTACAGATGACGCAATGTAGAATGAAAAGATCATTGTTGGACATAACAAGTTAGAAACCAAGAAATTCATAGAAGTGGCGTAAACGACATTATAAAACACATAGCTAAAATTAAATTGAAGTAGGCAGGACACATCGCTATTTGAAAGATAAGAGATTGACCAAAAATATATTGGAATGAAAACGTGAAGAGATCGCCTTGGCTAATTATTAATTATTAATTACTAACAAATAATAGTGATTTACCTACTTTACATGCATTAAGATTTAAAAAAAGGATAATTAAAAAAGCTTAGTAGGAGAGGCGTTGTGGCACCTTCCATTTAGATTTAAGGTTCACGCCTTTTTTGAGCCAGTCCGGCCCTGCAATAATATTTAAAATACGCAAATGAGAATCAAAATAGAACGCGTACATCTTATAATATATTGTTCTAATAATTCTTAGTTAACAATTTTCTCATCATGTTTGGTAAATATGTTGGATTGCGATATTAAAAGGAACAAGACATTTATTAACACTAATTATCTGAAACAGCTGGTCACCACTTTAATGCTGTAATTTAAACTCAACAATACTGTCTGCAGACTAGTTACCAATCCCGCATTCTTAAAAAAAATGAATTTAACAGTAGTATTTATAATAACTCAATAAAAGACAACCTTTATTACTTGCTTCTTCCTCTTTTTCTTCTGTATGTGTTACTTCACAAATGATCGCAATAAAAATTATGAAAAGACAAAAAAGAATGAAAAAGAAACAGAACAGATTCTACGGGTTACATTATAGGAGTTAAAAAATAAATAAACCAATGGAATGGGTTCCTATATCATCAACAGGACTATAAAAAATCCTTCACTGACAAAATTATACATATACAATACATCCTGATACTACAGCCAAAGGAGGCAGTGCCATTATCAACAAAAACTTAAAACATTAAACAAAAACTAAAACATGTAAAATTAATGTCAGTTCGTTAGCCCGTGTTCGTCCACTGCTTGCCATAGGCCTCTTCCATTTAATTCCGTTGTTGTTGATTCTGATGTTTCCTCTTAGCAATTCTTAACATTTTGCATATATATATATATATACAAACAACACAGTTTATTAGGGTTGCAGTCAGAATTATTGGCCGGGATGTTAAAAAAAACACTCTTTTGACTTTTTGTCGAGCTTTCGGAATATTTTTATTCCTTTTTCAAGACACTGTAAAAGACAATTATGTAAGTATTTAAAAATAATATCACCATTCTTCAGTGTAACTTACTAGTCGTTGAGATTATTTTTGTAAGCATTGAACACTCAACATTAATACCACACATTAAAATATACAATTATGGACAATACATCATAAAATTTTTAAAAATTTTTAAAAATTTTTAAAAATTATATATATATATATATTTGGTTTGAGTAATGATATATTTTAACGAATTTCAAACCTATATAAATCTCTGGTTAAGATTTATTGGCACCCAACAAGTGGCCATGAGGACTATAATAAAATAGGATGGAAATACTTCAGCCCTAAACGATATAATAACACACTATATAATATACAATATAATAACATACTATACCATAATATATGGTGACTTCAACACCAAAAACGGGGAGAAAAGAAGATAAGACAGAAACATCACTGGGAAAATTTGGTTTGGGAAACAGAAACGAGCGTAGTGAAATTTAAATTAGTTTCCTGCTGAAAAAAATCTTTTCCAAATCTCCTACAAAAAAGACTATCGGAGATTGACATGAAAGAGAGCTAGGATGGAAATCTAGGAACAAACTTGATTTTATGCACTGACAAGAGGCAAATCTTTAGAGATGTTACACTCATAAACCAGTTTTCTACAGGTAGCGACCACAAAATGGTACAAGCCTCCATAGAAATAGACCTTGGAAAAGAGAGATACTCTATGATCAAATAGAAGTGCAGATCTACCTAAAAAGAGCCTGATAATATAAAAATTGATTTTAAGACACATTAACAATATTCTCGAAAGCAATAAGAACACAGACGTAAATAACGACACCCTGAATGTCATTATAATAGCAGCTATAGAAGAAAAAAAGAAGATACGCTACCAAAAGAAACCATATATCGAAAGAAGTTACCGAAGTCACTTCAATACGTCCCCCAAAATTCTAAAGAGATATAAATAGATAAATAACGAAATTCAAAGATAAAGATGGAGCTATGATGACCAACAGAGAAAAATACAAAGGATAGTAGAATATTTTTATACAGAATTATACATGTTTATACATACTTTAATAAATGCTGCCTTTAGACTACAATATGTTCCAGATTTATGGAAGATAGCTGAGGTGATCATGACCAAAGCCTGGGAAACCCCCCAATGAGGTGACATCATATAGACCAATATCACTCCTACCTGTGATGTCCAAGGTGTTTAAAAAATTCCTCCTGCGAAGAATCCTACCAATAATTGAAGAAAAGAAACTAATTCCAGATCATCAATTTGCATTTAGAAATAAGCATTCGACAATTGATCAGGTGAATAGAATAACTGCTATAATTGAAAGATCATTAGAGAAAAGAAAAGTCTGTTCTGCAACCTTCCTAGATGTAGCACAGGCGTTTGATAAAGTCTGGCATAAGGGTTTGATACATAAATTTAAATCATTCATGCCTAAACAATATTCAAATATATTACAATCATATCTAGCGAATAGACATTTTAGAGTTAAACAAGAATATGCATACACTGATCTCAAGGATATTGAAGCAGGTGTTTAACAAGGGAGTGTATTGGGTCCAGTCCGATACCTAATATACACGTGTGATATACCTAAACTACAAGACCACACCATAGCTACCTTCGCAGATGACACTGCTGTCTTAGCAGAAGGTGACACCGTCGAAAAAGCTACGGTAAAAATACAAAATTCAATAAATAAAATCCATGAATGGACCAAAAAATGGAAAATTAAGCCGAATGAGAATAAATCAGTCCGTATAAATTTTACCAATAAGAGAATTAATAATATTCCAATTAGAATAAATGATGTCCAAGTGCCTATTGCAACATCAGCAGAGTGCTTGGGGATTACTCTGGATGCGAAGCTTCGCTGGAAAGCTCACGTGAAGAAGAAAAGAGAAGAACTAGGCATCCGCTACAAGAAAATGTATTGGTTGATAGGAAGGCATTCCTCTCTATCCGTAAATAATAAACTCCTAATCTATAAACAAATACTGAGGCCAGTATGGATCTATGGCTGCCAACTCAGGGGCTGTGCCAAGCCTAGTAACATCAAAGTAATCCAGGTATTCCAGAATAAAGTGCCGAGGAACATCGTAGATGCGCCTTGCTACGTTAGGAACAACGATTTTCACCGAGACCTCAAGATGGAAGACGTCAATCAGATAATCAAGAAATTTGCAGGGAGCCATGAACAACTACTCCATCATCGTGTAAACGTCGAGGCTATCCAGCTCCTCGACAATACGAACCTAGAGAGAAGGCTCAAAAGGACAAAGCCTTTTGGACTGGTATAGTGAGTGAGTGAAAAGTAGATCAAAGTGTTGTGCGAGTATGCATGCTAAATTTAATGCTAGTTATTAGAAATAATAGGAAAGATACTAGTGAGTAGACACCTAATTTTAAGTTTTCATTAGTAATTTAAGTTAGAAACAAATTGATAATTGGTCTTACTGACCAGATTTTAATGTAAGTAAGTACACTTCGGTATCTTTAGTAAAAAATAAAAATTATACAAAAGTCGACAAAAAAACAGGAGTCACCGATGTTATGAAGCGAACTGCACGAATGAGGTGAAACTGGGCGGTAATAAAGGGTGTACCCAAAAAACTACAGTGTGGAGACTACGAGCAGACAGAAGAAGCAGAGGTAGGTAGACCACCTACATGTATAGAACGACGTGAAAATAATTGCTGAGACTGGCTGCAGGAAACTTGAGACCGATAGATCTAAAAAAATAGTGGAGGCTTATGCTCAATTGTGGAAGCAGAAGACTGGATGATGATGGAATTGATGGTACAAATGTCCGCCGCGAGTTGCTTGAAAATATTAGAGTTGCCATGGTGATTGATAACTACCTTAACTGACATGCCCCTTGAAATAATTTTGTACAATTCTTTTTAATATTCCCTTGCTAAAAAGAATAGATTTAGTGTAATAAGTCTAAAAAAGATAATATAAATTAATAAACAAACTGTTGCTATCTTTTATTTACAGATGTGTTAATATTCATAGCTATATATTGGTTACATTCAACAATCAGATAAATTTTTGATGAGATATACGATTTATCGTAAAAAAATTTAGATATTTTTGACGATATTAATCATTTGATGACTTTCCACGAAGGTATTTCAATGATTATTTCCTAAAAATATATGTTCGCTTACCGATAATTTGTCGATATCTGAGAGTCCATTGGGAGCGATTTTCTTTGTGATAGCACTAAGAGCCCCTCGCAGGTATTCCACTTTCTGATCGGCATTTTGAAGTTCTTCATGATTGAAGATTTCACTTTTTTCGGCCCTGGAAAAAATAAGACAGTTTCAAAATTTGACCAAAAAAATATTTAGGGCTATCTTGGTGTTAAAGGAAATATAATAAAATCGGCTATAACAGAAAATACTTTTGCCGATCTATATTCCGACTGATAGAAGTCACTACCTACTTATCCTAGAGGTGGATGTCATCTCTTCCGGGGGTTAGACATTTTTTAAAAAAGATACTATTACTATTTGCAGATTGCTATTTTTTTAAGCAAATTATATACTGGAGTTGTATAACTTTTTTTTCTCTATAGTAAAATGCTGAGGCGAGCGAGCGTCACGGAAGTAGCGCCACAATTCGTTTCTAGTCATCATATATTTACTCTAATCAGGTTTAAATTCAAGAAGTGCATGAAAAATAACTAGAACAAATATAGACAAAAATATAGAAATTGTAACAAAATTCAGACATTAAATGACAAGTAAAAAATTAAAAGAATATCTGTCACTAAAAGATTTGATTCGTAACGATTGTCAAAATTTAATACACGTCATAATTGCCACCCAGTTAATAACAACATTGAATCATCTGTTTAAATGTTTATAATAATTCTCTTTTTAAAATAATTTCGTATACAATTATTATTTTTAAACATATTATTTAGTTTATACAGATTGAACGAAATAAATTCGGAACATAGGAATATAATGTATTTCGGCTCAATTCTGCTGTAGATAGTTGGCCAACAAAAGATTGACAAATAATTATGTTATAAAAATCCCATACTTCAGCGGGCTGCTGGATTCTGAACTCATAAAAATTGAAAGCTACACATAAATCTACGATTTATGCTGTCAAACCAGTTATAGTCCAAGAAATGAAGTATTTCACCTCGCAATTTTTACGTGCCTCGTGGATTGACTTGAAATTTAACAGAAGGTAGGTAATAGCCTAAGGATCAAAATCTATATCGAACCAAAGTGCGCCAAAGCCTAGGGGGTGGTTGCCACCCCATCTCTGGGGTGAAAATTTTTTTTACGTTTTAACTACAGGTTTCGATTAAAAAAGTGATTCTAAACAAAAAATGTGCTATACATTTTTTTTATAAAATGATATTTTTCAAGTTATTCGCGATTGAAAGTAACAACTTCTAGACGAAAAAATCCACGTTTTTAATCGATATTTCGCGAATAACTCGAAAATGGTGCATTTTATCAAAAAAATTGTAGAGAACAAATTTGTAGCTTTTAAAAAGACAAATACAATTCATTTTTTAAAATGTTTTTGCGATATAATAGGAACCAAAATACGGCCTATCAATGTTCAGCGGTTTTCTTCAAATGCCAAATTTGAAAGATTCAAAGTCAAATAAGTATCGGGAAAATGATGCATTTTTGGAAGAAAACTCACAAAACCTTTTTTAAAGAGCATAAATAGACATCACAAAAAAGACTCTAGCTCAAAAATTTAGTGAGTTGATGAAAATAAGGTCAATACCTCATTTTTTACGAAAAAACCGATGAAAACAACCCCCTAACCACTCCCATAATTAAAATCGATCTTCACCCTTCTGCAATTCCCTTTGTACATGTATTGTTAATACGTACAAGAAGTTTGACCCATTTAAAATGCTTTGTGTTAGAAAAAGTACAGCTTAAAGCGAGAAACGATTTACAATTTCATATTTTTTACCCTTCTTTTTTAAATATGCCCGAAAATACTGAATATATGAAAAAAATAAAAATCACCAAATTGTAGCTTTTTAATGACTAAAATTATCCTTTATTTAGATTTGTTGTACAATGAATATTTGGCGAGATATAGCCGTTTAAAGCATCGATTTACGATCAAGCACCATCTTTTTCGAGCCCTTTAAACTCACCCCATTTAAAACCAAGGGTTCCAGAAAGATTTAATTCACAGATCCTTGTAGCTCCTAAAAACCTCAACAAATCGTTTTTGAAGAAACACTCTATCGTTAAAAATTAAAGGAAATATGTTAAAAAAAAACAGTGAATTTTTTTCCGGAAAATTCCCTTAGTATAGTACAGTACATTTCGGAGCATAATAATCTACAAAACCGGTATATTAGCTAGTGGGGCGTTATACATTCAAAATTTTAAGCGTTCTAATTTTGAAATCCCATACAACAGAATAAAACATCTGCTCATATGTCTATGGCTTGGCAATGAAAATATCAGAGCAACAAATTGGGGATGGTATTCCAAAGATGGTTTGTTATTACCCATACCATGAACAGACAACCTGCACTCGATGAACTTTTGAAAATTATTTTTTGCCAATGCAAAAAAGTGTTTTATGTGGGTGCAAAAAATGATGTGTTTTATGTGGGTGCAGAAAAGTTGGTTTATACTGTAACTCTACTTGTTCTGGGTGCTCAGGTGAAGGGTGCAATAATAGTCCACCAATAATTGAAGATGAGGATGACATAGATCACGATGAAGATGTAATTGATGACGAATAAGATTAATATTATAATTGTTTTACCTATAAATGTAAATATTTTCAACTATTTATGTAAATGTATAAGAATATATGGTGCCTTTTTATGTTGATAAAATTTTTTTTGTATTTAATTCTACTTTTTTCAATTTATATCTTATAAATTAGTTTATAAAAACTGCAATGTTGTAAAGGGTGATTTTCAAAAGTTGAAAAGTTGCAAAATTTTGGCAAAAAATTGTTTTCGCCGATAATAGCACTCATAACAATTGATTTTTAAGGTTGAAAATGTATGAATTTGTATTTTAAAATATATAAAAATCACTATTTAACTAATCCTAACCAAATTTCACTCATCTTAAGATTTATAATATTATTTTACAATTTTTGAAATTAGGGGTAGTTTTCATCCCTAAGAACAATCAGGGTTCATCGGCATGACATAAACTATAAAGCAGAGGGTGAGTTGAGCTTAATTCCAATTTTTTATGCAAATCGTTCCAAGGTGAAATCATTTTCTTTGCATTACTAATTTTTTTATATTAATCTCTAATAAGGGTCGCTTTTTAAGGGCAGAAATATGATGGAACTTTATTCAAAAGCACGAAACTATCATTATTTAATTAATTCAAACCAAATTTTACCCATATTCAGGTTTAATATGTTATTTTATAATTTTTGACAATTAGGGGTAGTTTTCACCCCTAAAAACAATCAGGGTTCATCGACATGACATAAACTATAAAGCAGCGGTGAATTGAGCTTAAATCCAAATTTTTATCCAAATCGATCCAAGGCGAAATCATTTTTTTTAGAATTAGTAATTTTTTTTGCATTAATCTCTAACAAGGGTTGCTTTTTAAGGGTTGAAATATGATGGAACTCTATTCAAAAGTATAAAATAATTATTATGTAACTAATTCAAACCAAATCTTACCCACATTCAGGTTTAATATATTATTTTATAATTTTTGACAATTAGGGGTAGTTTTCACCCCTAAAACCCTTCAGCGCACTTCGGTTCGATATAGATTTTGATCCTTGGGCTATCCCCTACCTTCTGTTAAAATTTCAACTGGATACATGCAGGACGAAAAAATTGCGAGGTTTTAACTTTTATCGAGCTTAATTTCCTGAACTATTATCGTTTCCTTAGATAAACCCGTCCTACGCAAACAAAATTGTTGTGAGACAGATAGTTGAACGATATTTTATACAATGTCTATACCCAGGTATGGATTTATTTTTGTCCAAGTTTTATATTGGTCCACTATTTCAAATGCAGTTCAAACAGACATGTATTAAATTGTATGTTCCGTTTTAATTTGGTTCAATCTGTATATAATAATTAAATTTACTATCAAATGATATTTATTTATATTTTATTATTAATATTTGGTTTGAATTTGACAGGTTTGTTAGTCATAAGTAAACAACGTATGATTTGATAATACGTTAGCAGGTGGCGTTAGGAGCAAACAATGATTAATTGAATGTGTTTAATATAAATAAATAAATAATAAAACTTTATTTAATTTCAAATATATTATTTAAATTTTAAACATATTTTTATATATATATCTTGTTATTTTTAAACATCTTATTTAGTTTATATAATAATTAAATTTACTATAATATAATGATATTTATTTATATTATCGTAATTTCATATAAATACAATGTTGGATTTTTGCAATTATCAGTTTGATTAAAGTGCGATAAAAATAATTATTATTAAAACATTTTCACATTTTATTCAGTCACAGCGAAAAAATCCATTTGTGTATCTAATTAGGGGCTAGCCGGTAGGTATACTGTATCATAATGGTTTTCCTTTAAATATCAAATATTAAATATATAAAAATTTATTTGATGCGCCCCTTGCCGATGAAGTGATAGTGATCTAAAAAGTTCCCACAAAAATTTGAAGACCCGGCGCTTTAGGGTACAAGTTCGTATCCAAGGCATCGCAGAAGAGGGATCCGATTGGTCACGATTTGAAACTTAGTACGAGAATGTACAATCATGATACAAGGAAAAGGAGAGAACTAGCGGTCAAAGAGAAGCGGGGGGAGCAATTTAGAGTCTGATAGAAGAAGGTTCGTTTTCATGAAGTTTGAAAAGCCCGACAAATTTTCCTTTTATTCCATGAGTTTTGGTGAGAAGAAAGGGATTTGAGGTCAAAATGTCGCAATCTTGGTACTGTGAGTTAATCACCGTTTTGTTGTAAGCTGTATCCTGAGATGAGTGATTTGATAACAATGTCTTTGAAGGCTCACTAAGCCAAAATGGTTTTAAGTGAAAAATAAGCTACCGAGTTTGAAGAATCATATATTGTTATCATCCAGGATAACCTAAAGTGTAGTTTTGGTATTTGAATTGATTTACCCCAGGATTTGTCCAGCCTCCATTTTGTGTCACCCGTGGGTCAAATCTAGATTGTTTGAAATTTGTGGAACAATGTTTTTTTTGTTCAAATGTTAGATAACAAACTGTTTCAACGTTTTAAAAAGAAATAACTAGCCAGTGAAACAAGCACTTTTGTTAAATTTTTCTAAATAAACATTTATCATTAA